CCCCCCCCCCCCCCAAGCCACCGGAACCACCTGCTGCAGCTTCTCCTCCTGCTCTCACTTTAATAATAATAATAATAATAATAATAATAATAATAATAATAATAATACTTTGATTTTAGATTTATCCAGACTATTTTTTAATCCCAAAGTCGTTAAAATATTCTATAAAAGTATTAAACATACAAATAAATAATCTAAGTAAATCTGGGATGTTATAATTTTTTGGTTTAAAATTCAAAATAAAACTTTTCTGAATTTAAAAGTGTTTTATAAACTATAAAGATAAACACCTAATGGTTTTGCTTTATTTTTTACTTTATGAACTTAAACAATTTAAACAGTATTTTTTAAGTATATAAAATAAATATACACTAAAGATGGAACCTCAAAAGATAATTAATAAATAAACAAATATTAAAAACAACATTTAGTTTGCGTTTTTATTATTTGCTTTTTTCTGTTTATATTATAAAATAAATATTGTATAGATGTGAAATAAAAAATAATCAGAGTTTAATTTTATTTATTATTAATTAACAACAAGCAGCTTTCATCTGAACATTATAGTTACACGTTTAAAACCGTTTAAACTTCTGTTAAATAATGAAATTATTTAATTTAATATTAAATGCAAATAAAAAGCAAAAATGAAGGTTTTCTTTCTTTAGACTGTTCAATTTTAAAAAGTTTATAAAACATTTTATAATCCAGAAACTTTGTAAGATTTTAATAAAATAATGATTCAACATTTGTATTTTTTATAACATTTTAAAAGTTTTCTTCCAACCTAAATGTTCTGAGCTGCAAAACCTCCAGAAACATCATTTTTACAATTTAATTTAGTGTAAAATTTATGCAACATTAAAAAAGATTAAATATAAATTTTTAAACAAGTGAGTTTTTTCCTATTTCTAGATAAGAAAATAAATAAATAAAAGAACAAATAATTCAAATGAAACATTTAATCAAAGCTATTTATTTATTTATTTAGACTTTTATTTCTTTATAGCTTTAAAGGTTTATTAGTTTAAATGTTTTTAAAGGTTTGATTCGTATTTTTTAATTAAATAGCCATAACATTATAATTGATTTTTTTTTTTTGTAATAAAATGTAAATAAATAAATAAAAATAAAATAAAGTTGTTTGTGTTCAGAAGGAGGGAAAGTTGAGGCTGCGGTCTGAGTTCGGGTCGCAGGTGGGTCTAACTGGGTCACAGGGAGGACTGGTTCTGACCCAGTGGGCTGCGGGTTCTGGTTGTTCGGCAAAAGAAAAAAGAAAAAGTTTGTGATGACGTCACACTTCCCACAATCCTCCCCGCCCCGCAGCTCAGACTCTCTCTCTCTCTCTCTCCGGCCTCGATCAGCAGGAACAGAACCAGAACCGAGCCGCGGACCAAACGGAACCAGTGGAGCCGTGGCAGACAGAGCTTGTTGGACTCTCCGGGTCCGGTTCGGGACCTGTTCCGGGTCTCTGCGCCTCCATGTGAGGTCTGGACTCAAAGCGGAGCTGGAAACTTTTTGGTGAGTTTAAAAAAAAAACTGCTCAGTTTTTTCTGTAAGTGGCTCCTCACGCGTGCATGTGTGCGGGTTCTGTCCGAACTCGTGCGGGAAATGTTCCGAACCCACTTTGTGCTCGGACCCAGTTTGCACTTATGCTTTTATTTTGAAGCATCCTGCTAAGAAAACAACTTTCTGCTGGTTCTGATCCATGGACGTGTTGGAGAAGTGGTTCCGGACGTGCACTTTGTTGTTGTTGTTGTTTTGGTGTTTGTTCTGAAACTTTTGGGAGGTCCCCCCCCCCCCCCCCCCGCTGCTTGTTGCTGTTCATCCAGAGGAGGAAAATTTGCTGAAAGTTTCTTTTCTCTTTAACCCAAACGGTTCTGGTTCCGTTTATGAACAGAACCTCTGGGTTTGTTTACCTGCCTGAGGTCTGTTGTTTGTCCCTGCAACCAAAGTAAACAACAACAACACGCAAGACCCGACTTTAAACAGAGGAAGGTCGTTGAGTTCATCCTGAGGAGCTCAGTCAGTGCTGAAAATACATTCAAACATGCTGCTGCCCTGAGGTTCAGTAGTTCCTGCTGCTGTCTTGATGTTCAGTAGTTCCTGCTGC